TTAACAGTAATTGCAAAAACCCTGATAAGTATACTTTGTAACAAGTAGGCGGCACTAGAAAGAGTGTGGCCATTTGAAGAAACAACCAGAACAGAACAGAACTTGAACAGATCAAGTTCAGAAATAACAAGGACCATAAAAACAGGTGTGGCATGTTACAGTTCAATATCAACTCCTATCAAGTCAGGTGTGGCACACAACCAGGAAAGACTTAAGTTTTTTAAGACCAAAAGTAAAAGAAGAAAAAGTGAATTTCCAGCGCCTCACACAACTGCACACAACTGCACACACTACTGGACATGAGAGTGTGCTGGCTGAATGGAGGGTTTTGGTTCAAGTCAGAAGGTGGCACAAAGTGCCTTTATTCCCTCCCCACCCTCTAGAAGTGTGAGAAACATCAAAACAGCTAATGTCTGATACCAGCAAGTCATGGCTAGCAACAAAGATTTTCAATGGGTGCATTGTTGGAGAACTACTGCCCAAAAGCCAGTCACTAAAGAAGAAGATCTGTTTCTCTTTCGTCTGTTTGGAGACAGCACCTGGTGCAGCCCTAGTGGACCCTGTACTACTGGAGCTCTAGGATGAGCTTCAAGTCTCCATCCTCTGGTTTCCATCTCTGCAGTGCCTAGGATTGTTGGCCTTTGTACCCCAAAACATACTTTATTTAAAAAAAAAAAAAGAGTTCCCATTTTTTTACATAATTGGTATATTTAAAGTAGAAGCTATGGTTTCTCATAAATACAACTGGACTTTTCTCAAACTGACATGAAACAATGTTGGGGAGAATACAAAGCTACAGAGGCTGCCAAATCCTGCCTGAGATTTAAACTGGAAACTCTCTTAACGGTAACGTCACCCTGTCTACACAAATTTTAAAAGCGCATGGAAGTTTACACTAAGAAGCAATCACCGGAAGACATGAACTGACATAAAAATGAATAATTATATAATATTTTAGTGACTCAAAGTGGGAGCTGAGTCAATTTTGTTCGTGTTCATGTTTAAAAAATGAACCGAGCCTATCCCTGTATCCAGACGCTCCGGCATGTTTAAATGAGACAGGGAGACACCTGTGCTGTTCTGGCAGCAGAGCCGGCCAGGGCTCTCAGAAAGCAGCTTCTTAAACATTCCCAACAAGATGAGGAAGTGTCTCAATCAGAAATTTCAAACAGGGCACTCTTCCATTTGCCAGTTGCCCTGTACAAAATTGAGTTCTGTAACAAAAATAGTATGATGCGCAGTAATCCTTGCATACTGTGAGGCTTGTTTGCTTCCATAGGGTGAACATCCCACACGGGGCCTTCCACATGCTAAGTGCTCTACCACTGAGGTATAGTCTACCCAAATAGTTGTTATCTTCAAAATAAAACAAGAAAAGAGATAATTTTTAAAAAAAAAAACAAATAATAAGCCACTTTTCTAGTAGGCAGATCAGACTTGGGTTTCTCCTCATAACCTATGGGTTTTAAAAATGACAGCTTTTAATAATACTTCCTCAGAATATTTCCCAAAGACCATCAAATTATCAGGCCTGATGATTTGATACTGGCTTACATCATTTGTTTGCGCTCTGCTCTCTAAATCAAAACAAAACTTCTAATGTTCAAAGACTTGGGTTAAATATAGTTACTTTATTACACATTTTTAATACTTAAATCTTACTTGAGAAAAATAATTTACTTTCCTGGAGGAGGGCTTGAAAGAACTGAAAGCAATGCCTTTCTACTTTACCTATTTGTTGATGTTGACATCTGTCATTGTGATTTCCATACAACTTACTCGCGCCTGGGTCATCCACTGTCCTCTCAGAGGCTGTTGAACACAATCTTCGCACCTTAAGTAATCTGGGGGAATTTCCTTGGATCTTATCTTTGGCATCCAAAACCAGGTCTCCCGAAAGGGCTGGAGGCATGACTCTCTTTAAAAAGTCCATCTTAAGGTACTTCTACATTACTAGACCCAGAAGCACAAAGAAAAGGTACAGGGACCAACTTCCTTGATGACTATAGTTAAGGGCTATACTATCTGAGGCAAAGAGCAAAGAGGTGTCATGTGAGCTTAGGCGGTGCTAAAGCCTAACAGGTCGCCAGGCACCAGCTGCCTGGAAGCTGATTTTGAGGACATCACTGTTTGTGGCGATAACAGGGCAAGCAGTTGCAGTGAGTGAAGCTGCTGGCCATAGATGCATGCCCTTGTAGAGTGGGTGTTAGCTGCAATTCTCATGCCATAAAATGCTTAGTGGCCATCAGGGTTAACATTTAGACTCTGACAGCCTTCACTGTGATAATGTAAAAATAAATTGACTTTGGTCTGGGGTGTACACTTTCTTTCAAATAAACTTAAGCTCTTGAGTTAGAGAGACAGTAACTTGGACTCCAAAGATAATTCTTATCATTTTTGAAAATTCACTACCAGATCGTGCAACTTAGACAGAACGTAAGGCTGCGCCAGTGAGAACTTTAGACTTTTAAACACACACAGCCACATACACACAAATCCCCTTTCCAATCGATCATACTTCACAGGAGTAGAAACCCTAGACTAGATCATCAAAAGGTAAGTGACAAAACGGATCCCTCTAAAACACTGTATTAAAGAATTTGAGAAGTCAATGTTAAAATTCCATAAATGTAGTCATCAGTATCATAGCATTTGTTTCTATTCTGTATGATAACAAGAGCACACAGAGCTAATCCCACTACCTCAGTGTTACCTAGGCATACACAAAAGAGACCTGCTGTAAAACCCAATCAGAACCACCTGCTTCCCTCCTGCCTTTGCCTGCCTTACAGTGGGAACCAAGGGAGCAGAGTCACAAACAAATAGAATACAGGAGGTGGGAGCAGCCTGGGTAACTGTGTTTGTAACTTACAGGACACATTTTAATAACTTCAAAAATCGAATTTGACCGGTGAAACACACGCATGCACAATGGCTTTTCCAGTACAGACATGAAAATAAACATGAATGTAGCATTTCTAAAGATGGAGCTGAGCTGTCCCTACACATATTGGGAAACGGCTGTAGAAGACAAGCAAGCTGACGTCTGATTTGAGTCAGTTTCCCGTCCTTACTCCTAAACCACAGGACTTCAAGGGTCAATGTCATCCACTGAAAGACACTGTTTGAAGCTCCCTCATGGTGAAGCTTTAATTTAGTATTGAGTCTCAAAGAGTAATGTAAATTCCATCTAGGGGCTTGGGAATGTAGCTCAGGTGATACAGTGCTTGCTTGCCTCATATGCATAAGGTCCTGAGTTCAATCCCCAGGATGATATAAACCACATGTGGTAGGGTACACCTATAATCCCAGCACTCAGAAGGTGGAGATAAAAGGATCATGTCATCCCCAGCTACACTGTGAATTCAAGGCCAACCTGGGATACATGAGACCCTGTCACCAAGTGAGGGTGGGGTAGGGGAATTTCCGTCTAGGTGAAAAAGGGGAAGGAGGACTTAAATTTCTTTCCTTAAAGCAGTATTGTATCCGATAGGAAAAACAAACAAAAAACCTGACTTTTATAAAACATTTCTAAGAAACATATTCTCTCTCCAAAGGGAACAAAATTAATATCCATTTGCCCAATCGCCACAAATAAGAAGGGATAAATGTCCTACTATACGCCGTTAGGCTTCTTACCCTAAAAGTTCTCAGTGCCTGTAGGTGCTCTTTTCTTGTGTTTGCTTTGTGAATATGACCTCAGTCTTTACACAGTAAGTCTCTGTTTGCCTTGGGCCCCTTTACGGGCTCTTATCTAAGGAGGCCTGCAACACAGTGGTATGGAATCGCGCTGATGCCAGATAGGAAGTTGCCCTAGTGTTTGCTCATGACACACAGAACCACCTGCTGGGTCACTATTAACCCCACAGTCACTTTCACATCTCAGAAAGGAAGGGGCTGCAGTGCAGAAGGACAAGCACGGGTGCCACGGAAGAGACCTCCGGGTTGCCTTCATCCCTCGAGTGTTTGCTGAGCAGTTTCTATGACGGTTTGTGCAAAGTACAAGGACTCTGAGGTCTGTCTTGGTCTCCAACTAGTTCCTATTTAAGAAGAGAAATCAGTTCTCACTGCTACAGTTCTCCCAGCAGGGTGGCACAATTGAGCCTGCATTGTTGTCCTACTTCTTCAGCCCAATCTGCTCCTGGACTGATCCTATACCACCTCCCTGAAAACCTGCCCTGAGGGAGACATAGAGCACAGGGGACAGCATGACATTCCAGTGGCAAAACCGAATCCACTACAGTCTCAGTCTGATAAGAAAGGTCACCAAAAAAAAACCATTTAACTTGATATTTCTAAGCATTTTGAGTAATTCTCATAACCTCGAATGTGCTATTTGTTCATATCTTGAATGTTTCCCAGTGGGGGCTGGAGAGATAGCTCAGTGGTCAACAACACTGGCTGCTCCGCAGAGGGCCTGGGTTTGACTCCCATGCAACCACTTGGCAGCTTACAGCCACCTTTAATTCCAATTCTAGGAGATCTGATGCCCTCTTCTGGCTTCTATGAACACCAGGCACACACACAGTAGACATGCGTGCAGGCAAAATACCTATACACATAATAAAAAAAAATACAATAAAATGATAATAATCTTAAAAACTGCATACGTCTCCTAGTGACCTACATATTTAAAGTTTGATCCCTAATTTGGTGGTTGATAGGTAGAGACTAGTGGGAAGGAATCACATCACTGGGGAGTCGTTCTTGAAGGGAACTGTGGAAT